TAATTGTTTGATTTAGTATTCATATTAACATATTTAATTACTAAGTTATAAGCTATGATTAATTTCTTCAATTAATTAATTAAATAAATTATTTTATTCTATAATTTTGATTATATTATTTAATTGATTGGTAAATAATGATCATATTAATTATTTGATTCTTTTCTACATTATAAGTATATTGATTAAAATAATTATAGTAACTAATTGCAAATTTATTAATTATCATTATAGTGATTAAGTGATTGTTTAGTCAATTATGATTATTTTCTTTAATTGATAATTAAATTACACATAATTAGTATTGTTTAATTGATTACAAATTTATAATGAAATAAATAAATTGATTAATTAGTACGTAAATTATATATATTTACACACTAATTTAATTGATACGTAAACTATGATTAATTCATTCAGTTACCTGATAATAAAATTATGATTTTACTATTTAATTAGTTTGTAAACTTTGAAGATTTTAATTAATATTTTTTTGATAAATTATGATTATATTGATTAGTTTATTGATTACTAAATTATAATTTATGCTTTAATTGATTTAAAATTTTTTGTTGATTAAGAAATATAATTATTTATAGTGATTATAATTACTTGATTTAGTATTCATAATAACATATTTAATTGGTAATTAAGTAAACTTTAATTAATTTATTCACTTAATTAATTTTTATAATTTATTGATTATAAATTATTGATTATATTATTTTCTCGATTGATTAATAATGATCACATAAATTAGTTGATTTATTTTTAAATTATGATTATATTGATTTAAAGTAATATTAATTACTTGATTGATTAATTATGGGTTAGTGCTTAATTGAATGATTAGTCAATTATACTTAAATTATTTATTTAATTGATAATTAAATTATACTTAATTAAATTTTTTAATTGATTAAAACTTTATAATTACATTGATTAATTATTTCATTAGTAAATCATATATTTAGACAATAATTTTTTTGATAAGTAAACTATAATTAATTCATTCAATTACTTGATTACATAAATTATGATTATACTATTTAATTGATTTGTAAATTATGAAGATATTCATTAATTGACTGATAAATTCTAATTATAGTGATAACTTGATTGTTTAATAAAGTACAATTATATGTTTTAATTGAATAAAAATTGCTTTGTTGATACTATTTATTAAAATTTCTTTCAGTGACTATAATTGTTTGATTACTAAATTATAGTGCATTACAATGCTTATAATTGATTCATTAATATATAATAATTACATATTTATACTCCCCTAAACTATGATTAATTTAATTAATTACTTCATCATAAAATTTTGATTTCATTATTTACTTGATTGATAAATATTGATTATTTTATTTAATTGATTGATATGTAACTTATTATTATTAAAAGAGATGTATTATTTATTGTGTGTGGAGATGAAATTTTTAATATAAATTTAAGGAAATATTTCACATGATGGGAGATCGAGGTTGGATGTATCATCGTTTAGATGATAATGGCTGTTATACTGATGAATTCAAAATTGGTGTGGAGTCATTCCTGGATTATGCATTTTTCCAGTCCAATTTAGAGTTATGTAGTAGAAATCGGATTAAGTGTCCCTGCAGTAAATGTATGAACCAAGAATGGCATCGTCGTGCCACAGTGCACTGTCATTTGACAAAAAAGGGTTTTATGAACAAGTATATAGTTTGGCTTGCACACGGAGAGCAGCCAATGCAAAGGCGACAACGTCATCAGTGGGGGGAATCCTCTAGTGCAGTTCCCTTTGTGATGGAAGAACAAGGTAATGATCCAATTAGAGATATGGTTATGGATGCAAATCTACATGGTATAGAATATAATATGAATGAACAAGCCAATGCGGAGCCAATCTTTGAGGAGGCAATGGGTGATGCAAAGGAATTTTTTGATCTTTTACAAGCTGCTAACACACCACTTTATGATGGATGTGATGATGGTGATACAGTACTAAAATGGATGTCTCATTTTATAAATGCAAAAACACTTTACAATATGAGTGTCGCTAATTGGGATAATATGTTAAAGTGTACTAGGAGATGGATGAAGCTAGAGGATCGGGATAGAATTCCAAAAGATTTTTACAGTTCTAAAAAGATGATGAGGCATTTCTCTCTGGGTTATAAGAAGTATGATGTGTCTGTGAATAACTGCTTCTTGTATTATGGTGAATTTGAAAACAAAAACTACATCGCATGTCCAATATGTGGTGAACCTCGGTATAAACAGGGACATGTGCAACAAAATCAACATATACCAAGGAAGTCATTGTGGTATATCCCTATTACACCTAGACTCAAAAGGTTGTACATGTGTAGAAAAATTGTTGAACACATGATATGGCACTTGAATTGTCGTGGTGTATCTGAAAAGATTGTGCATCCTACCGGTGCTAAAGCATGGAAACACTTTGATCACACCTACCCCGACTTTGCATCAGATCCAAGGAATGTAAGGCTTGGATTGTGCACAAATGGGTTCACTCTATTTGGACATACATCAGCCCCGTATTCATGTTGGCCTGTATTTTTTACTGTCTACAACTTACCTCCATCAATGTGTATGAAACCGAAGTCCATCTTTCTTTCTCTGATAATACAAGGTCCTCAAAGTCCTAGAAAAAACATTGATGTTATGCTACGGCCACTGATTGATGAATTAAAGGAACTTTGGTATAACGGGGTGAAGACATATTATAGTTTTAGGCATGAACATTTTATTATGAGAGCATCACTTATGTGGACAATTACTGACTTCCCTAGATATGGTATGTTATCTGGATGGAGCACACATGGTACATTATCATATCCGTATTGTCAAGAAAATTCTAAGGCATTACACCTTCCAAATGGTCGAAAGATATCATTTTTTGATTGTCACCGACAGTTTTTACCTCCCGATCATCCATTCAAGAGAAATAGGAATGATTTTCAAAAAGGCCATGTAGAGAATCGTGCTCCACCAGAGAGATTGTCGGGTGATGATATGCATCGACAAATTCAACAACTGCCCGACATACTATTTGGGAAACCATCACAAAGGCAAGTGATCAAAGATTTTGGTCATTGGCATAACTGGGGTAAAAGGAGTACCTTTTGGGAGCTTCCTTATTAGAGCACAAATTTAATCCATCATAACCTTGATGTAATGCACTGTGAGAAAAATTTTTTTGATAATATCTTTCATACCATCATGGATGACCCATTGACAACCCATTGACGAAGGACAACTTGAAGGCAAGGATGGATATGGAATTGTATTGTAATAGGCCAAGTCTTTGTATGCCAGAAACAGGCTTTAATGCGGGTAGAAAACCGAATGCCACTTATGTCTTGAACAGGGAGCAAAGAAAATCTATGTGTCAATGGCTACAGAATCTTAGATTTCCTGATGGTTTTGCATCCAACATCTCTCGGTGTGTGAATATGCAAGAGGCGAAAGTTAGTGGGATGAAGAGTCATGATTGTCACATATTCATGCAAAGTCTCCTTCCAATTGCATTCCATGATTTTCTACCAAAGCAAGTTTGGGAAGCACTTATTGAGATTAGTGAGTTTTTTAGAGCCTTATGTTCTCCAACCATTCGGGTTACAGATATGGAGATTTGGCAAGGCAAGATTGTAGAAACAATATGCCAACTTGAAAGAATCTTTCCTCCTTCCTTTTTTTGATTTGATGGAGCATCTAGCAATACAC